TTTTCGAGTTTGTTTCTGAATTACGTATATGTTTTCAAAGGGAATATTGCGAGTTTGGGAAATTTTAATAAAATTAGTGGCATTGTTAACATGTTTCAACATATCATTGACAACACGTATACTCAAAGAATCGCAAATGGATAAGTTTAACCTATGACTATAGCAGTGTGTATAAAGAGCCTTTGGGTTAAGCTTTAAAATTTGAGCTGCTAGACCATTAGTGCAACCAGCAACTGAACCAGCCCCATCATAACCTTGCCCCCTACAATCATCTATTGATAAAGTCAGTTCCTTTAGAGCCTCTAAAAGTAGCTTGGCAAGTTGAGCACCACTTAGTCCCCACTTACAAAAAGAAATGAAATGAATTCTTCCCTGATATTCATATCGGTATCAACAAAGCGCAAAACAAGAGACATTTGTTCTTTATGTGAAGAATCAGATGCTTCATCAGCAATAACAGAAAAAAACTTACTTTTTTTGATATCAGAAATAATCTGATTACTGATTACCTGGCCACAACATTTAATGATTTTATTTTGACTTGTTTTAGAAATATAACTTCTATTCTTACCACAATTCTTTAAATGATTTTCTAAAACTTTATCCCCTCTCCTAACTCCATAATTGAGTGTTTCAATGAAATTACCAACCCCTCCAGATGAATAACAACCAACAGTAGGGTGATACTTGGAATCATCACGATGCCCACGAAGAGGTAAACCTAGACGTCCACAAAAAATGACAGAATCAATAATTGGAGATAGTATTTCCCTATTCTGTTCTATTTCTTTCTTGATACCAGCATCCATGATCATCTCGATAGGCTGCAGAGTACCTGATATTTGGGAACGCAAAGCATCAAAATTGGTGATGTGGATGCATGCAAACCGACTTCCCTCCTTTACTTTTTCCAGCATGTTGAGTGAAAGAGCATTTAGCATTCTTCCAATCTTGAAGAGGTTCAGTAAACAACTTTTTTACTTTACTGGCCTTGCCTGGGAATCTATTGCCAAACAACACACACGATAGACAATACGCACCATTTTGTGAAGGTGAATAGCAAAGCCATTCATGCTGGTCTAGCCAATCATGCCTAAATGATCTGCCATTAGATTTAGGAAAATGATACTTTTATCTGGTTTATATACATTTTTATCAAATGACATATTTCAGAATTATCCATACCCTTAACTTTCTCCTATACAAGGAAACATCAAAATTATGGGTTAAAACAGCAGGTTGCATATCACCAGAAGTTGGAATACCAGGCAATAGTTCCTGGGATGATGTGTGAAACAAAAGACTATTGGCTTTATTTAATGTCTGAGCAAGAGCTGCAGCAGAAGAAAAACTCTCATTGGGCATCCTTTTAAAAGTTGGTTGGGCAGCAGGCCTATTAGTTGAAGTAAAAAAATTTGAAATGTCAACTGTTTTTGGTGCAATATTTGGAAAAATTTTGACAAATTTTCGTTTCTCTGTTGTTGAGCTGCTAGAATTAGACTGTGTACAGGAATTAGACAATTTTCGCTTCAACCTGTGGGCATGGAAAATGAGAGGCACAAAATGATTAGACTGAAAAGTCTCACCTGGTTGTACAGATCCTTCATGACAAAACAAAATATTAATAGCATCCAAACCTCTTTGGCTTAATAACCGGGGCTGAACAATACGATTAAATAACAATTTATATCTACTTTCACCAGAATCAGGATAAAAGTATGAATTTTTCTACCTAAAACAGAAGATAGGCCCAAAATACAAAGAAAAGATGACCATTTCTGGTCATTACAATTTAAAATAGCCTCCTGTTTTACCAGTTCATCTGTTGTATATCCAGTGTCTAAACATTCTTTAGACACTGACAAAGGCAAAAGATTGTTTAAGCTTTGGGCAAAGTAATCACTGTGCTCACTTATAACAGACAAAAAGCATGGGTGTTGAGCATAAAAGCAGCATGAATAAATAGCTCAAGCGATGTTAAAATTCGCAAAGTAGGGACCAATGCATTGTTACCTACCAGAACTAGGAAGCTGAACTGTAGAGGCAATTGCCAGAAGCTTCAGATCTTAAAAATATTCAAGAAAAGAAATTAATATTTTGTTTGGTAGATTGATTGCATTGTATGAATGAATTGCTGACTGTAGACAAAGATATAGCCTAGCGAAATTGAGATTTAACCATTTTACACGTATATATAAATACTACAATACGATATATATAATTATAATATATTTACCTTATTGCAGTACAAGTCTTTCCGTCATGAGCGTGCTTTGGCACATATATTTCAGCTCAAAATTTCGACACAGAGTATGGTCGGGGTCATAAATTCTATCTAACAGCTGCTCGTTAGTAAACATAGGTCGAACGTCGACCAATAAACGAGAATAAAGCTCATTAAGGCATTTTAAATCGTTTTGGCCAACGCAGACTGAGCAGTCTCGTATAAATTACCACAACACAATGAAGACATTATAAAATATCACAAAACCGTAAACTGAGCACAGAGGCTGTTCAGAAACAATACGAGTGTATGTTAATTTTCAATTGCCTAATTTGCCTAGCTCAACTATGCTTATCAACAGCAATGATTGGTTGGAATTGCTCAAGTTAGGCAAAAAATTGACCAATGAAAGCATACGGTTGCAAAAATTGCCCAATCAGAATACCTATACACGATGTCAAGTTAGGCAAATTCATCTTGTTTAGGCAAATTGCTAACAACCAATCAAATGGCTAGATCGCCTTCTTGACTTAGGCAAAATGGCTGCTTTGCCTAACGACACGGAGCTTTATAGATAATCATACGCATCTGGACTACGATTCATATCAAAATTACGTCATTTAATTGCACAACATTTCTAAACAAAAGTCAGATGATTTGACTGCGATAAAGTGCTATTCATAGTTTCATAATTCGATAAATTCGTATCGAATCTAAGTCGAAGTATATTTTGGTAATTTCACCATAGGCACTTGCCTATGGTGCCTACCTAGATCCGCCCTGATTCGAGGGTGCATTTATTGCGGTCTATCGTACAAAATCGAACTATTTTTTCAAACTTGACATTCTTAAATGCAAAGAAATGTTATCAATTAAAAAAATCAACAGACCAATTCAATAAATAACAAAGGTGAGTTAACGTACATATGATTCACTCTTAATTCCTGTTCTTTCAGAAATTTCCACTTTCAAAAAAAAGTGAAATCGCCAGGTTTTTTGCATTTATCGGAATAAGTTTATTATGCTTCCTTCACTAGAGTTCCATGATTTCAATATTATTGTTTTCTTTGACGCCAAACCACTTGTTGAATTGATTAAAGCTCGCACGTAGCACATGCATACAAAAACTTTTGTTAGCGATGTGTTTCCTCAAAATATTGGTCATCAATACACAAAAATTTTACTCGAATTCGGTTTATATTAGCAAATCCTTAAAAAATTGGCAAATTGCTTGAAAAATGATAAGTTTGCCATTCTTTAAAGTGATGTGATGATATGTTGCCCAGTACACACTGAAAATTGAGTGAAAAGTTGACGTATGTAATTCTGTTACCCACGGTCGTGTCTCCAACAAAAATATCAACATATTTTAGACATCTTAACCTTATCTCAAGCATGATTAATTCCTGTTTTAGAAAAATTGAAGACCATAGTCCTAGTATGGTATAGCATCAAGCATTTTAATTTATTTGTTGCTACCACTATCAATGTCTGTTTTGTGTTAAAGATTAAGCAATGCATGCCTGTCAAAATCAATATTGTCTATGTTTTTGTCATTAGAAGTAGATACTGAATTTTGGTTACATCGTTAGCACTATTTTCAACACTTAAAGGTTTGTGAAACGGATATCAATAATCATGTTCAGAAGATAGAAATTAGTAGATTTATCACGAGTAAACTTAAATCTAATAAATGCATGCTTAGGGAATACAGTATGTTTGTCAAGCGCAAATTAAGTGCAGCATATCTCCATAATGCTTCGAACGTGAAAGGCTTTACAAACCTGAAGCTTAACAGAAAAACATGCACGGCTTTTTTTAACTCGCATCAAGTCTCGGGATTTACCAAATAATGTCGCTGTTGGCCGTGCCAACAATATTTGATATTATATGCAGTCTTTGTATGAGCCATCAACATGGACGATTTGTAAATGAAACTATGCACCTGCCGGCAGTTATATACAGGTTATTGTTTGGCCGTATTTGAACTGCATTCTTGACTTGCAACCGTTCTCTTGAGATTTATCAAACAATGTTGCTCGACCACGTCGGCTGGTGGCAGCAATAGCACTGATAAAATATTTTTTTGTATCATACCACCAACATGGTTGAATTGCAAGTCAAGAAATATATATCCACAGTATTAACCTGAAAAATGAAGAGATCCAAAATTAATCTTTTGACGTTTTAAATATCATTATTGAATGAGAGAAAAGGATAATCATTGTTATGAAAGTACATGTGTATGATTTTATGATTATGAAAGTAAATAATGTATATGATTTCATCGAAATTAATATTCATTTGCGAGACATGTTTTCAGTGGTAAACGCTCATTTAGCCTAACCTAACCACTCAAAAGCGATTTTCTCAGTATCATCAGTAACATATACTTAAATACCAGACTATAACAGCTTGCAATTCATTTTTTTTTAATAAAAAACGTATTTCGGATAAAATTCTATTGTTAATCATGTTAAATTATTCGTAAGTCGGTAATAACATTCGGATTATGTAAAGTATAATATAGATTTTATAGAGAAACAAAGCAAATGTAACGAGCAACGATATTATAATGACGATCTTCATGTGATATGGCATATGTCATATCTACTTAATTAATTATGCAAAATACTGTATTGTTTATATGTTTTCGTTTGATGTTCATATCTCAACAAATCAAAATTGCATTCGCCTTTTGATCAACATGTTTTTGTAACACAGATATTAGGGCATGTGGTCTTTTTTTGTTTCGGTTGTTTTTCGGCCAAAATCTTCAATCTACAAGTAAAATCAAGTAAAGAAAGTAAATTCTTAAGATCAGTCATACAATGCTACATTTATTACACATCTAATTTATTCAACTCAATGTACATTGTAGTTGTTTAAGTTTTCATGTTCTACAATGGCGTCAGATTATCTTAAAAACCACAAAAGATTTTGGAAAAATGATGAACCTACGAAAATTCCGAAAAATAAACAAATTCCAATTCAGCACAGTGATTGCATCAAAACGTTTCTGAAATGTATCCAAGATGAAGGTTTGCGAAAAGCTTATAATCGTTACGGATACAAACCGGTGGAATCAAAACATCCAAGATCGATAATCAATGATATTGAAGATGAAAAGATCAGTGACGTCATTATAGTTGGTGCAGGAATGGCAGGTCTAAGTGCAGCGTATGAATTAAAAAAAGCTGGTCTTTCTGTGAAAATTCTAGAGCAAACAGACCGTTATGGAGGAAGAATATTTACGTATGGTGAAGAAAGCGGTCTTGCGTCTGGTTTGTATGCAGAAGGTATGGATAAACTCGCTCAGTAAAGTTGTCTGGTAAAATTAAAGCTATTTCATTCATAAATCATAAATTCAAAAGCTTTGCCACAGTTTTTTCACAGAACTGTAAAATTGCTGCCCCATAGGTATAGCTAGAACAGCAGACAACAGCACAACTAGGAAATATACCTGGCATGCGTGTGTCAACCAGAAGCCACATTGAATAAACGACGACTGTTACTGGCTGATAAAATATGACGAAAAACAGCAACTTATTTTGTATAAACATGGTAATCATTACAACAATATTAGCTGATTAACTTCTTGCTTTCGACGGTAAAAATTCCAATACAGCGAATGCTTTCTTAAACAATACTTCCAATCGTTCTAGCTGTAACGTGCAGTAAGTGAATAACAAATGATACCCCCCCCCCATCGAAAACTCTTCTATAGAAATAAAAAAGTTTACTTTAAAGAATAAATAATTCAAAAATCGTTTGTCAACTACAAATTGAATCAAACATAAAACAACAAAAAATTTCAACGAATAGCTGAAGTAATGATGTGGTGAGCTTATGCTTCTGTGAAAGATTCAACAACTAGGTATCTTTTCTACTCTCTTTTTATGTTATTCATTCCATCTGTTTCCAAGCATTCGAAAAATTTCATTATCAATTGATAGTTTTCAGTTGCTTGTCAAACTCCTTAGTTAAATAAAAATAGGAGGAGGCCTCCTAAAAATTATAAGTAGCATTTTTGCATGTTCGCTTTATCAATTAAAAAATCAAAGAATTCAACATTGTTAAGCACCATACAAGGTGTTTCTCATTTTTAGAAAGTTTTTAGACATGCATGCAAATATAAAATATAATATAATAAAGTAAATGATATGCCATCAGTGTCATATAGGAAAATGAAAATAGCTGTTTTATTACCATTTTCTGTCTCATCAGGTGATGTTAACAACAAAATATGCTATTAAGGGAAATCACAAACACTTTCTGCGAGATTTTTTTTAAGTCTACCAGGCCGCAATAAACATACGTATGTTTTATATTCAAAAGAGACCTGTATCTTTCATAGGAATTTTACTGTTTTAATGTTATGAGTAAGGGGTGCTGTCCTTTCAAGAAAAGTTCGGAGGGTCTTATAGCCTTCATTGCTTCTCCGCTTCCAACTCCCCTGAGTTGTGCCTATATTCTTTAGTGCCAAATCTGATGATTGTGTTGGGCATTGAATCACACAAACCTTTTTTTCTGTGGGGTGTTTTCAAAAAAATATACTTATGTGTGTGTTTGACGTCATTGTCGTGTTGGAAGACACAAAACTAAAAATATATTCTACGAATTTTTAAATCTACAGGTTATACACTTTAATGAAACAGTTTTTCATAATCAAGTAATCTAGAAAAGTCATTTTAAAGAGAAGCATTGATTAAAGATTGAGAGATTACACTCTTTTCTTTTAGAAAATGCAAAATTTTATGAAAATTACTAGAATACATGAATTTTTTGTTATTATATGATATTGGCGACCATCTATATATATAATTCTTTAATCATGTACATGCAGAAATGAAAGAGAATCTTACAATTTTCAACTAAAAAAATATTTATTATTTTTCAAGCTGGAGCAATGCGATTGCCTGGAGGTGTGGATGATCAATATGAAAAACAACATTATTTAACGGACGGTTACATCAAGAACTTTAATCTACCTATCAAATGTTTTCCAAACTACGATGAAAATGTCATTACTAGCATTTATGGTCTTCATGAAAATCTGAAGGTAAAGTGTATAAAAATAGTGAACAAAAGTGTGTAAAAGCAGAGATCGTGTAATGTAAATTTAACAAGACGACTTTTAATGCATGTATTGGGAAGATGCAATTGCATGTCATGAGAAATGTTTTTCTATTTCCGCTAGCTAGTCAAAACGATGCTTGCTAAACATATAACATCAGAGGCTTAACTAGAACGTTAATTGGGGAGGGGGGCATATTCATATATTCCGCCTTGCCCAACTGATTTCTCATGAAAGTGATTTGAGTTTCAAAGAAATCGGCAGGGCACAACGGAATATATGAATATACACACCAGTTAACGTTCTAGTTACGCCTCTGTATAACATATTCAAGTGTTGTTCTTTTATACAAATAGAAAGTTTGTAACATGAAAGGCAAACATCGATAGAAAGAAAACTCAAATCATTTCTATAAATTTACAACAATTATTTTCTCAACAACGAACTTAGGCCTGCATTATAGCTAATACTGGATTACACTTAAAATGCCTGCCACTACAGTTCATTATGACGCTATATGCAACTGGATATTGTTAGTACTACTCTTTCATATGTAATGATTAATTTGCTAGAATAATTGTTTATGCTGCTTTGTGTCTCATGTTTTCAGTTTGGGCTGAGAAACATTTTGACAAATTTTGGCCAAACTGGATGGATGGAATAAATGAATCATTACGAAAAGACATTTTGAATATTGGTAATTATACAATGAGATGTTTTTGTCTATTTTTATGATTCAGATATGTAAAAACTATTGACGAGGCATGCAGGGAAAACAACCATATTTAATTGGGTGAGAATCTATGTCTTGAGAATAAAATCAACATTATAAACTGTTAGTAACAATAATTTACCTTTTCTTAATCAGGAAAATACTACGACGAAACAACAAGTGTTGTCAGTGACCAGCTTTACACTTGGTTATCAAAAGCAAATAGTGTAGATGATCAAGTTAATGCTTGGGATCGTTGGATTAAAATTTGGAGTCGGTTCACGGTGGAAAATTTTCTTGAAAGTACTATCAATGTAATTAAAGCTAAAGTTTCTATTCAAGAGCAGGAAGACTTGGATTTAATAAAGCTTGAAAGTCTTTTGCCATGGTCTAGCGACGCCGTTCAAGGCTTTTCTGTAGTTTTCTATGCGTATGATCTTGACCAATCACTTGAACACTATCTTTCTTTTCCATTGGGAAAATGGCATTCTCCTGAAATGCATTGTTTGAAAGGTGGCATGCACAGTTTGCCAAAAGCGTTTTTCAATAGTGGAATATTAAATACAGATGACATAGAATACAAGAAGCAAGTATATGAAATAAATTACTGGTTTAAAGATGATTGCCCGCTTAACGATTTTGTAGAGGTGTCTTGTTATTCAAATAGTGCTGCATCAATTGTTTATAAAGGAAAGGTAAGTTTAGTTAACCGAAATTAATTTAGTCGGAAATGTTTGCTTAACCTTTTACTTTACGAACTTGTTCAGTGATTGTTGAACTACTATACTGCCGAAGGGTTTGTTAAATTAAAACTCCCCCACAGCGAGACATCTGCGTCTCTTGTGAATTGCAACCTGTGTTATGTACATTAGACTGGATAAAGCATCTCTTGTGAAAATTAAAGCGGGAAGTTAGATCATTTGCTGTTGACTTAATGGGGGATGTCGGTCTTACTTTACCATCCTTTTGTATTACAAATTCACATTTTTTGCTTTTTTATATTTTAAAAACTTCTGATTTGGACAAAGTTTTAATGAGATGTACAGGAAAACCGGTGGAGAGTTTTAACCCTAATGTTGTATTTTCTGTGCATTTGTAATGACTGAGAAATGAGATAGCATGTTGTATCGCCATTTAAAAGTTGAAGTTGACAAGGACAATTTTTGTTCCGCGAGGCATTTTTCGAAGATGAATTCTCAATCTGCAACAAAGTATCAACAAACGCTTTCATGTCTTCACTATACTCATGTATAGTGTAGATGTTCATAAAGGAACTGGTTAAAAACTTTGCTTCACTGATGAAAAACAGAAGTTTAGCATATTTCTATAATGTACATCTTGTATATTTTGATGATATAGTTTTCAATTTACTGATGTATATCAGAACATCTTTCTGATTATATGTCTATGTTGAATTGTTTTGTTTCCTTACTGAATAAACAATAAAGACGTAGTTTGATATTACAACCGTCATTTTTAATGTTTAAATTTGTGATGAAAAAGAAATGTTTCAAGCAAATGTTTGAAGCAATCTTCCATGAATGTCAAGACGCTTTTGAGACCGAGTGAAAATATTCTTATTTTTATAAAGAAAAATAATCGCATTTTAAATTGCTCGATGTGGCTTGTTGAGACGAAAATTGAATTTTTTATTAAGTGTACTGTCTCCGAATAGTAAAATTCACTTTTGCTATGATAAGTATCACTTAAATACATTTTGCTTTCTCTTCGAACAATTTACACCGCTCTCAAATAAATTTAAAAATTTGATTTTCTAAGCAAATCTTTTGCCAGAAATAACTCGTCGACTACAGTCATAATATCGTAAAAAATCCGCCCGCAGCTGCAGCCAATATAAATGCAGGAAATCAAAAACTGTCCTTCGCATGCATAAACAAGAATCGAAGTAAAATATTTCTGGACGTTTTTGTGAAAGCTTGAAAAATCTGTTGATGATAATAGTAGTTTTGAACTTTTATCATGTTTGTTTACGACATATTCAAAGATGGTATAGGAATTACAATATTGACATATTTTTCTAAATGTCACCTTGTTTAAGAGATATATAAATCATGTAGAAGATGAGAAGGTGTATATGAAAAATGTATTTAAAATTTATTTAAGAAAAGAAAAATTCATCCCGTGTCTGCACGGGCTGATGGAAACCGAGGAGAACTTTCAGACAAATCAAGAGCAGATCAATGCAAGCCCCAGACATTGACTGATTACGCAAACCTCTCAATTTTGCATCAGTAGAAGTTGTGTGAGTGTCGCAGCAGCAACTATATCATAAAAAACATTACTTTAGAACTGATTACACTAACATATGCAAGCGCAAATTAACCAGGCTTTAAACGTTGGTTCCAGCGTTGCTGTAACTTCGGACTTCAACGTTCTATGAATGTTGCTTGAACGGTTAATTACTACGTCGCTAACAAACGTTGTGTCAACTTTAGTACAACGTCAAAATAATTGCTTAAAGTAGTGCGAACGTCGTTAAAAAGTTAGGTCGGACCTGACGTTCTCACAACCTTTAACCAACGTCATAAGTAAGTCGTGTGCTAGCTGGGATACCCATTATGCACTCACAACTAAAGAAAAAGGACAAAAAAACTACAAATAACGCCAAAACTACAACAATGCACTACTATAATATTAACAGCAGTCATATTCACAATACATCAATACCCATGACAACGCATTCCACACCATCCAATCACATTAATCCACCCACTAATCTAATTAGACGCTCTAAGCATCTACTAATGAAAAAGAACAGTATATAACTTCCTATATCTTTCTGATGAAGGCTCGAAGCACCGAGTTGAGAGCCCAATAAAATCATTTTATATACAATCTGGAGAAACTTTTATTTTTATACATTAAATATGCCTGGATTACCAATCTTTAAACGTATTTATTTTTGTATTTTATATTACTATCTGATTGAAAAATTTTGCCAATTGTTAATGTTAAAAGTTTGTAATGCTCACCAATAGCTTTTATGTTAGCTACAAAAAATTTTAAGATTGTCTGTGTAAGGGAATAATTTAACTTAAAAAATATCTTATGCTTACGTTTTTAGTAAATACCACAAGCATCCATTTTGAGAAGTTCGCAATAACGATTGAAGTCTTGAGTTGTTCAATTTCATATGACTTATTGTTGTCATCGTCTTGCAATTCATTAGCTTCAATAGTCGATACTCTTTTTTGCTGTAAAATAATGAACTTTTTATGATGTACAAGAAAAACCTCATTGGTTAGTGCGAAAAGATTCAGCAGTGAAAGACGACATATTTCAATGTTATATAATACAGCAATAAGTCATTCATTCATACTTTAGACAAATTTCTTTCTGTATGGAGACAATTTTCCTGACTGGCTGAAGACGTGATATGTAAGTGTGTGCAACGGTAAAATTACTACTTTGTTTTTATGTAGGCCGTAATTGTTGCCACACCAACTAATATTTTGCGCCAAATCACTTTCAAATCAAAGCTTAACAATAATAAGTCCCAGTTGGCGACAAGAAAAAAAATTCAAGCTATGAACCATATTCTTACCTTGCATTCATCAAAAATCTTTCTTCAAACCAAAACAAGATTCTGGGAAGATGAAGGAATCAAAGGTGGGTTTTCAATTACAAACCTTCCCATAGGTCAGGTTCATTACGTCACCCTGGAAGACCCTTGCACAAAAGAAGGGCTTGTAATGATTTACGTATGGACGAAGGAGGCCTTGCTTTTTGGGTCCATGGAAGAAGAGCAAGTAAAACGAAAAGTAGTGGAACAACTCGCAGAAATTCATCCAACATTAAAAGAAGACATTGTATCAAACTGTATAATTCATCATTGGTATAGGCTGCCATCTTATCAAGGCGCGTGTGGAGCAATGAAAACTGCTCAATACGGCAACATCAGGTAGGATTATTTAGGATAACATGAAATTTTTTCATGTAAGAACGCATAACAAGCTAGAGTACATAAAATTACAAATATAGCTAATACTGAACCATAATTGACTAATTATAGAATATGACCGTAGCGAGATCAAGTTGTGTTCATACCGAGTTGTGTACTGGCCACGAACTTTGACTGTATGATGAAATACAACATTGCCACAAGTTTTTTGCCGTAATTTTTATAAGATTCTGAAATCCTCCATTTTATTACAGCTGATTTATCAGAACTGGGTGCATAAAAAATTAAATTTGTACTTCAACTTTTAATTTTTAAGACTGTATTTGAAGTTTGTCTTAGAAACATGTGCTTACATTTTTAATAAGTTGAAGAATTGGGCAAATTTGGTTGATATCTGAGCTTCGTATAAACTTTATAGGTCAAACGAGTTTTTTATTTGGTCGTGACATACATTGTTTTTTTGTCAAAACTAGGTATTTACGGGAGCCTATGGGAAACGTTCATTTCGCTGGTGAAGGAATTTCCTTTACATGAAAGTGGATACAAGGTGCTCTAGAAAGTGGTTTAAAAGCTGCATATCAAGTTTATGAACGACATATGGACAGAAACGATCACCATGTTTAAATAGACAAAAGAATGTGACAATTCCTTCAATATTTTTCAATTTTTTCAAATATTTGCATAAACTTTTTAACCATTTTAATAATTGTCCTTATGGTAGGAATAAATTATTTTTGACCTTCACCTCTCGCGGGATCTTAAGCCATCATGGTATCACCTACTTCCAACGAATGGAGAGAAAAAGAATTATTACAAATAGACCTACTTACGCTTGTTTAATTCTAAAACTAAGCCAATTTAGTAGCTGTCGCTAAAATAAAATTTTTGTTGTTTTAACGATGAGAAATTTACTCTGTGTGTGCAATTTCCTTTTTTTATCATCATATTAGATGTAATGTGTCATATGATGGAAATAGCGTCAATTATTTATTATAAATCTATGAAATACTTTTTGTTAAGCTATGGTCATTAGGGATGGTTGAAATACATTTGCAATAAATTTTTAACACCAACAGCCTGTTTTTTTCTCAATGAAGTCAAACAACATGCTAGTACAATTCTTCTTTAAATTGAAAACTGGTCTAGGGCAAGATTATCTTTAAATCACGATCTATTCCTTCTTTTCCCGTTTTTTTGTGGGGGGATCCCTTTTAGCCTTATTATACTCAGCTGTTTATTTGTATCTAACAATCTAACAATTTAACAATCTCTATTCTAATAAATGTAGAGGCCAGTGCCTGAGTTATTATACAACATTTCTTTCAACGTCGAATCTTGAAGCACGTTTTAAATATTTGTTAGCTAAGTATGTTAACTTGATATAAATAATGCGCTAAGCATTTATGAATTTTAAATCCGTTTAGCAAAGTTCAGTTATGAAATTATATGATTTTATTATACAAAATAAATACAATGAGTTTATAAAAGTGTATTCAATTTACAAAGATACCAGGCAAAAAAGTAAAGTTCTGCAAAAAGGTGGAAGGACAACTTTTGATACAAGAGACTGACTCGGTTCTCAAACTTACGTTTAAATATCAACTTTTTTCATCATTACTTCATGGCAAACATCGTTCAATCAAGAAAAACGAGTTTGCATAATTCCATCAGTAAAGTTAAATCTTTTTCAATTAAGTAATATTAACTATGTAGCATCAATACATCAACGGCAGATAAATATGACATGTATTTCAAGTAAAGCTATGCCATTAAATGTACAAGCCTTCAACTGATTTCATACGAAAATGAAAGCAGCAACATATAACATGATAATATCCTTTTCAACCAGGGATGTATTGCTATCGCTAATTGGAGGGGCTTTTATTCATAAATGCATGTTCTAAAACCGTAGAAAACAATACATTTCAAAAGATATTATTTCAGCATATCATGAATATATGAATAAGAGCCCCCACAATGAGCGATAGCAATACATCCCTGTTTTCAATTAATTGGAATTTACGGTTATATATAAAATACAGAACAGAAGTTGAAACATTTAAGACACTGTCTAATTGCATGAGAAGTGCAAACATGGTATATATATATAATTTTTATGAGTGCATTTGAACACGTAATATGAAAATCAAACATGTTGTGTATATATTTTAACATCAGTGACGTTTAACCTGTAGGCTTATCAACCTATAAACATGCAGCAATTGCAAAGCACGACACTATAACGACGACTATGCCTCCATTTATTCCGCCGATGATCTCACCTATTTCTGTACAAATTAGAACAAAAAATTAAATTTTGAAAAAGTTTAAAATAAACAGCAAGGTGTGGGACTCTTATTGCATTGATGAGAAGATAGTTAAAATGTCGTTTATTATGTATATATTTGCAAATTATTTGTAAATCAGTTGAACGACTTAATCGATTCTGCAACAACGTAGGTAGATTGAAGAATTTGGAGGGTTAAGATGCATTGTATATTTTATATAACAGACAAAATTTTTCAATTTATGTCAATTATTAGTCCAGGATATGTCAGTGTACATATGGGTTTTCGATTAGGAATAAGCTTTTAAATCTCAAGAACATTTATTAACTTACTTGTGGCTGTACTGTTTTCCTTTTTTTTCATTATTTGTACATGTTTGTTCTAAAATAGCAAGTTGTTATGCCTCTTAAATTCAGCAATTAGAAATCAGGCTAATTTCTATACAAATGATTATTCTTTGCTCTGCTCTTTGACTTATTCAATTGCTTTATTTTGTTATACGAATAAACTCTTGCTAGCAAACGACTGTTATAATTGAATTAATTGAAGTATACACTAGCTCTGTTTTATTTATTCTTGTGCGGCAGAAGTAGTTAAAGTGTACCCTTTATTCTCTCTGGTAAAGAAAATTCCAAACGCATCCCCCTCTTTGACTTATCTGAGGTAAATTTTATAAAAATGTAACACACATTAGAAAAATTAGAGCCCAACAAATAATTTTAAACGTAGTCATAAACAATTTGGTTATAATTTGGAATTGCAAAATAAAATTTACAAAATAATTCATCTGTGATCACGGAAGATTGATAATTTGGATGGGCCCCATTCATATATTCACATGTTATAATCCACGATCACAAATGATCATAACATGAACCAGTAAATCGAAAATGCATATATAAATATTCCGTTCACCCACCTACTCCACCTCTCCCCATTTATCAATAATCAAAAGTCCCTGCTGACTTAAAGAAAATTAATTGGCGTTGTACATTGAATATAGAGAACAAACTTTTTTAATACAAACATGTTTCGGCAAACTTACGTGTATAAATAAATAATGATAAGTTACTTACAGGTAATTGAGATGAGTATAGGGTTACAATTGTTTTCAGCTAATTAGCATATAGAGGTTGGACGATATAAAAATGGAAGAAAAAATCAGCATAAAATTATATTTACAAACCTGGAAGAGGCAAGGTCATATCCTCAAATCTGGTAAACATTGTGAAATAAGATCGGTAAAAAGTGCAATGATAATGGCATATCATTAAGACCCGAGTACAGCATAAGAAAACGATCTGCTTCAGTGCGCCTTGCAGACAGTGTGATCACAACTACCATGGGAATTGGAAATACCGTCTCAGACTCAGATGAACATCGAGTGCATTTCTTCATTGCTGTTATCGATACTATGCTTGGTAAACTACATAGAAGATCTCCCACTTCAGCATGTGGCATCATAAAATGAGTTAGTGCACTTTCGCTTAAAATAATTTATCTTATCAAGATGATGCGTTGCAGGAAATGTCAGCTTATTATAGATGTTTCCATAATTTCGTAAAAGCACTATTGCCAATACACATTTAATATACACGACAACTTTTTTAAAAATAGACATGTTTCGACATCTCATGATGCCATCTTAAGTATGAATGAAATAATAGGTGATACAGGGTTTATAAAAGTAATATGATACGTAAATTAGAACAATAAAAAGGAAATAAGATAATATAATAAGGAGCGTCCGAGCGTATTATAAACTAAATATTGTATTGAATTTAAAAACTTGAACATTGAGGTCAGGGTTAGTTTTGTTAATGTGGAGTGCTTCTTTGATTTTAAGGTTGAATGAGGTGTCGGCAGTGTCGATGATTTTGAAACAAGAGGGTGAATAGTTGGTTTTAAGAAGGTGTCGGTAGATGTAAGAGTTTTTGTCTGTTTTGGTATGTTTCCTGATTCTGGTGGATAAATGGCGCGAAGTTTCGCCAATGTATCGGGAATTACATCCCGCGCAATTGAATTCATATACCACCATAGATTTAATTATATCAGGGATCGGGTCTTTAAATGAAAAAAGGTTTTTGATTTTGAATGATGTGAAAATTAGTCGAATGTCAATATCTGTACAGAAGCGTTTCATAATGTTTGTAAGTCTGCGTTGTTTGTGTCGTGAGTAATGTCAGATGTATGGTAGTTTGAAGTATAGAGTTGTTATTTTGGAATTTTCATTTGTGTTGGTTGTGATCGTCGTGTCAGGAGTTTCGGTGTCTAGGTTGAGGTTGTTGCTTTGTTTGTTGTCGAGATATCGTTTTACAGTTCTGTTAATAAAGTGAAGTGGAAAGAACAAGAGAGTGGATGTGATGTTTTTATGCCTCGTTGAAAGCCATTGTTCGTATTGTTAAGTTTGTATGCTCTGTCGATTAGTGTGCGTATAAGTCCGGTTTTGTATGAAAGTGGTGTGAAACTAAAATAGTTCATCCAAGTCCATGTACGTTGGTTTAGGTAATAGATGTTGTACAGTTTGTCGTGAGATTTTGTTAGTAAAATGTCAAGAAATGGCAGTTTATCTTGTTGTTCAGTTTCAAAGAAAATCTAATGTTTGCGTGCCTGTTAATGTAATTATAAAACTTCATTGGCCTCAGTTTCATTAGTAAAACACAAAAATATCGTCAACGTATCTGGTAAAATAGTGGTTTAGTGTCGTAGTTGTTTA